AAACCGATAATGCCACCGTATGGGGCGAAAAACTCTACGGCCACCGTTGCCACAAAACGAACAACTATATTCGATAATTTTAATAAAAAAATAGGTACATATAATATAATTACATGATTTACTGTTGAAATGAACATCAATATTGATGATTTCAGTAAACATTTCCTCGTCGCTAGAGGGCGGAAATTGTTGGATCGGTCAACTGTTCAAACATTTCTATCCTCGGGGGCGGAAATCCGGGCATTTTCCACCGCCTGGCAACCCTCGCGGTGAAAACAAAGACCAAAAACTCGCAGAAAACGGTACTTTGCGATGATTGTTGAGAGTCCCCTGAACAGTGTAACAAGATTAGCCCTACGTGTGTAACATATATGAATTTGGTTGTTCAGGATTACTTCAAAGTTGAGTTTGTGTTGTTTTTCTCGAGTTTTCACCGGCTCCACCGGCGTCCCACAGCAGCGCGCACAAAGCTCATAGAAATACGTGGTACAGTGGTGCGCGTCTTAGCAACGTAGAATGTCCGTGACGGAGCTCCGCCCCCGAGGATATCTAACTTTAAAATGCGGTGGTCGTTGCGCTGCGCGTGTTCGAATTTCTTGTAAATGAACAATGTATTTTACACGCATTGTATACGTCGCTGTGAGTCCCGTATCGAACAGAACGCGGCACGACGACCACCGCCCTTTAACCTTGCATTAATGTGTGTAATTTGATAGGATTTACTTGACAAATATCTTATACCAAGAGCCACGGCTTCCGATGATTCAACCGTGTTTTATTTGAAGATGAAAGGGGATTATTATCGATATCTAGCCGAAGTAGCTGATTCTGATGACAGACAAGGTACGTCACGTGGCAATGTATGACTCAAGCCTCAGAGATAACACCATGACATCATGGGTCTTTATTCTTCACAGTGTTGGAAATTTGCTCCGATACTTAAACCAATCTCTCGTCACAGTGCGGAAACATTAGCCAAACTGTCGCAACAGTACCGAGATATTGGCCAACCCCGCGCAGCAGTGAGGCAGCCCTGGGCAATCCTTCGCCACAGTGCGAAGACATTAGTTAATCTCTCGCCACAGAACAGAAACATTAGCCAATCTTTCACAACAGCGCGGAACATTAGCCAACCACACGGCACTGTGGGGACATTAGCCAATCTATCGCCATAGTGCAGAGAATGTAACCATTCCATCATCACAGTGCAGAGACTTTCGCCAATAACTCTCCGCCGTGCGGAGCTTTTTAGACAGTCCATTATTGCAAAGCGGGAAATTCTCCATTACTTCACCGTCGTGAGGAATTATTTTAGTCATTCCCTCACAACAGTGCAAATTAGCCATATTTTCGTTACAACATAGAGAATATAGATAATTCCTCGTCGCAATGCGAATCCTTTAGTTATTCCCTTGCTGTATTGTGAAGACTTTGAACATTACTCAAGTATCACAGTTATGTACCCAACCCCCTCAGACCCATGAACCACAGGCCCTTACTCAAGAGCGTGCCATAACAGTCCCTCTTATTGTTTAAAATGGCAATCGTATTTTTTTGCGGTTGTGTGCGTAGTATGAAGCTGAACAAGCCACACCTGAACGTTATAGTCTCCGTTTGCCAACCCCGTTTGTATGCTCAATTACCATATAGGAACACACAACTGAGAGGGTACGATGTCAAGGAAATATACTATACTATAATGTTTAATACAAAATTGTCCCAGGCATGTTAAAACAATTACGTCGGACAAACGCACGCACATGCGCCATTACAAACGTCCCCGTTTCGTACTACGTCATAATATTTCCTTGCACAAGCTCGCCAGAAACACATTTATCTGCTACTAACTGTAACATTCTATTGTACACAGAGCACGTAACCAACGCAACAAAAGCTTATAACAAGGCATATGACATCAGTGCCACTAAAATGGTTCCATCTCACCCAATACGGCTTGGATTGGCGCTTAATTTCTCAGTATTTCATTACGAAATTCTGTGTGACCACGAGGCTGCATGTAAACTTGGGAAGGAAGTATGTTCAATTCATAAAGTGTGTTGAGAATTCGTAATATAATGTCATTCGATTAGGAAATATTCTGTTATTCATTCCGTCATAAATGACGTCATAATTTGTCTCAGCGCCCTCAGTGTTATATATTGGGCCATCGTTTTATATCATGACAATATAAGTGACTTACTTTGCTATTACATTGCCATGACTACGTGACTCTTATTTTGACATATACAAAACCAAAGTTATTTGCACCTAAACCACCGTTTTGTTTGTTCTTAGGCATTCGAAGAAGCAGTTAATGACAAGGACGCATCGGAAGATAGTATGTTAATTTTACAATTACTCAGGGATAACTTAACTGTAAGTTCTGTTCTTATTTTTTGACTGATTACATTACACCGACACGTGGCGGTCAGTAAATTGTAATCTAAACCAACTTTACTCGGGCATCACGATGACATGTTTCACAGGGGTAAAGTACCGCAGTCGCCACACCGCCTTCGCATGTGTAACGACGGTATTTGGAACAGCGGTCGCGATGGCTGAAGAGAAAGGGATACTATTTGGGACAAGTCTCGTGACTCTTTCGCCCACAACGAGATATCGGCGGCAATTTTCAAATGATTATAATGTCTATTAATATACACTGCATTTGTGTATGTATTAATAAAACATAAACGTTTTAAAACTTCAAATGAAAATAATTGAAAATCATATGATTAAAATTACAACGCAACTGTCAGTATGACTTTCGATCAATCGCTGCAGAATATGTTTTATCAATTAAAATGCGCCAAACTGTTTGGACGATATTTCTTCGATACATATGTAGAAGTGAGCGATTAATTCGAAGTAGTGTACTGAATAAATGTTATTGGATCATGTGACTCGGTTATGATTGAACCAATTGGTATGAGTGTGACAAGAGAGTAACTGTAACTGTAAGAGTAACTTCCGGCTTGGCTGTATTAAATACAATCGTTTTTATGTACATTTTATGTTATGCAAAATGTTTGGCATGATTCAGGATATTTAATGTCTAAATTGGTTTTGCAACTTTTTATCGAAGCGTTTGACAGCATGAAGCAATACCATTTTTCCCGAGTTGAATACCAAATAGTGGCAAGTTAGAAAGGAATACGGTTATCTAACTCGGGCAAGATAAAAACAAGCACCCAAATGTCTTCAATAAAATATGTTTGTAGTATGGGAACATGGAAAAATATTTTATGATAATTATATGTTATTATAGGTTATACATGTATTTATATCAATAATGTTGACAGCGTGATTTGGTTCGACCTTTTTAAAAATGTCACAATATATCGGTCGTGTCTAAGTGAAAGAACTATTACGGATAAATGATCTATTATACACGTGTTCATTCCAGCTTTATATTCTTATTTCAGTTATGGACATCCGATGCAGATGATTACGACATTGAAGAAGATTATTAGATCCAAATCGTATATAAAAACAGAATTGTTCAAATGACAATAACGACGGGGAAAAATCGGTTCATTAATAATTCCATTTTATATTCACCACATTGTTCAATTTTATTCAGTATTTGAGGCTTATTGAAATGCTATTTTTACGATAGAAAAATATAATTACTATATATTAATCATGACACTATCATTAATCTTCTTGTGTAAAGTATAACATAAATGGTAGAAATTACCATGGAGAGCTCAATTTGCGTCCAACAATGAAGAAAACGTTATTCTTAAACGGTTATTTATTCAAACGCCCCATTTTCAACTTGGGGTATGTGTATGTTTAGCAAAATGGCTCATTTTGTGTGTGCAGGGGCGGATCTACGATTCTGGAATAGGGGGGGGGGGCGATAAGTTGGCCGAAGGCTTAATTCGCGAGCGCCGAAGCCTTTGCGGGGATTAAAAATAGGGTGTGTTTTAATAAATGAGTTTATTTCAACTTTTCTTCCTATTTTCCAACCTGCTGACTGAACAGTGTCACCCCGCCCACATGTTGACGCCAACCACAGATGACACTAAATCGGCACGATCCTTCAGCAGTACATCCATTAGTCAAGCACAACCCTTAGTTGTGCAGGTGAGCAACCAGTAGAATTGACACTTTCAACTAAATTGGCAAGATCCTTCAGTAGTACACCCATTAGCAAAGCACAACCCCTAGTTGTACAGGTGAGCAACCAGTAGAATTGACACTTTCAACTAAATTGGCAAGATCCTTCATTAGTACATCCATTAGTCAAGCATATCACCTAGTTGTACAAGTGAGCAACCAGCGGAATGGGCACTTTCAACTAAATTGGCGCGATCCTTCAGTAGTACATCCATTAGTCAAGCACATTCCCTAGTTGTACAGGTGAACAACAAGTGGAATGGACACTTTCAACTAAATTGGTACGATCCTTCAATAGTACACCCATTAGTCAAGCACAACCCCTAGTTGTGCAGGTGAGCAACCAGTGGATT